GAGAGCACGACATTGTATGATTTCTAGAGCTGATATAGGGCAATTTGTTCAGCAGAGTGATATAAGCTTCGTTATGATTGCATCATCCATGACTTCTAGGAATAACATGATGCAATTCATATCATGTATGACGCAATACCAGCTTCAGATTGCATCATTCATTGTTTTGCCTAAAAAGCAAGTACTGTCCAAACCCAGTCATAGATTTATTCATAGATCCAGTCAAAGATGTATTTTAGTCATTTCTGGTTTAAATTGAGATCCCTTCCCCTTATAACTCACTTATCCTCCGCCATTCCCAAGTCAAGGGTCGTATATACTGACCCAATAGCATATCTTGAAAACTAGAGCCAATCAACAATTTTAAGCATCATTTTCGTTCTCAGTGACTCAAAATTAGTAAAGTTTGACTACATTTATTTCAGAAGCATTTTGGATGTAGAGCAGTGTAATTTATTGTGAGCTGCCCTGCAGACAAAGAGTTACACAAATCCTCTCATCACAGCATACACCCAATTCATGCTGTTCTCAGTAAGGCAAAGAAAGTGAACCTATGCAACCAACACAGGAGCACAAGGCATTACCAATAAGCCACTACAGACTGAGTTGTTTGGAAATGGTGCTTATTCTCTGCAATCTTATACAAAAATTAGATTGAAAAGCTGCTTGCAATATACAGTATGTTTATGGGGGACAAAAATACATGCTGAAAGTACTTTATTACTGTAGACTAATCGGTTTGGTTATGGCCACTGGAAGGACCCATCACCGAGATACCATGCTGTAATGCAGGTTCAAGTGTTTTCTGCGCAGTTTAAACATCCATCTATAAATACGTACATTGTTAAACCCTGGAATTGTGCAGATATTCTCTGAGCATGAACCACCACTGTGGTGGCTCCCTGAGTCTGCAGACAGTCATAATGAAACAATAGCTTCAAGAGCAAATCCTTCCTCACTGTGCTTGCCCACAAAACACTACATGCAGTAGAATCTTGGTGGCGAGCAGGCCATAGAATAATAGAATATCAAGGTTGGAAGGGACCAGAGGCCACAGGACTGCATTGCCCTATATGATGCACTGCCCCGACAACTCTCTCAATCCTTGCAGGCAATCGTCGCAGAGTACTGCTCCACTGAATACAGGGTGTGACTTCTTAGTGTATGTGTTTTTAGCAACCTGCCCCCCCCCCCCGCAGCCTATACACGCCATTTGCGCTACATTTTGAGCATTGCACACGTGTGTGTGTGTGTGTGTGTGTGTGTGTGTGTGTGTGTGTACATATGTGTAGCATTTCATTTTAAGGGTAACAGCTGCTAACTGATAAGTGGGGATAAGAAAAGATTGCCGATGATGTTCTGGAATCTAAGGTACGTGTTTCCACAATTAGTGGAATTGCAGAAAGTGGCCAAAATCTCAAATTAGACTTTAAACTTTTGTTTGTCTAGTACCCTACTTTTTTCCTTTCTTGCCAGCCATCAAAGAAAAGCACAGAAGAGCATGGCTAGCTAACAGTCTCTCCAAAGCTGTACAGAAATGTATTTGCATAACTAAAAAAGGAACAGATGTCTGAATGTTATTTTTTCCATGGGAATTATGTTTTCAGATGCTTCCTAGTTTACATCAAACCATGCTTCAGCTGTGACACACATGACAATGCCTTTGTGAACTGCACAAGCCAAGTAGATACATACAATAAAAGTGCTAAGTCCATTCTGTGTAGTTGCTGCCATATGGCAAATCTGAGCTTGTCACCATGATCTAAGAGAATCACTCCAAGGTCTAAACTGAGAACTCACCTAATTTGCCCATCTGTCTCAGGTTGCTTATTGGTTTAAGGTGAAGTAAGTTGTTTATTGAAAATGTTCTGTATTGATTAGATTGGCTTTTGACTGTGTTTTGCTGTCATTTCAATATTGTATAGACATATATATATTATATTACATGCAAAAAACTATGTTAAAAGCATTAAGGTTGCCAAGTCAAGCACTCAAAGTTAGGAAATGACAGAAATAAGGTTCCCTGTGCAACATTAATGTGACCTTTTTGTGCATATAGTTTATGATACAGTCTTTAATTTTATGATCACATACTATTTTTTCCACAGGACCTGTGTCTCATTCAGGGCACAGGATGAATCTTTTAACAAAGTTTTGTGTGGGTAATTTCCTAAGTTTAAAAAAAAAAATTGAAAAAACAGAAATTCCACCATTTGACATCATCAGGGTTAGAACCTTTAGATCACTGCACAGACCTCTGCCACTTGAGATAACTGAGATATTTGGTGACATCAGAGGAATGATGAGGCTCCCCAGCTCTGGAGGGGAGTGTATTCTAGGGGGCATTCCCCACAAGGGTGACCCATTCGGTCTCCTACAAACTGTCCCTGTCCTGTCTCTTCCCCACCCAACTCTTTGTCCCAGTCCCATTCTCCTCACTTAGCCAGCCCCAGTACTCAATCTTCTATCCCAGTCCCAGTCCCTTTGCCCAATAAATCCTAGTCTCATCAGTCCAGACTCCCCCACTCTCATTCCTCCCCCAGCTCCTTGGTCTACCTGGTTCAATATCCATTCCCCAACACAGTGGCCATTGTTCTGATGCTTCAGAGGTAAGTGCAAAAAACCCTGCCACAATGGACAGTTATGCAATAATATGTGCAAAGGGGAAGTTATTCCTAGCTGCAGCCAGGCAGAGGTTGGTTTATGGCAAAGATTACTTGAGTACTTTGTGGGGTACAGTGTTGTGAAGAAAATAATCTTTCCTTTGCTTTTAATTTCTAGTACTTTCTCAAATATTATCAGTAAAACACACCATGTGTAATTCAGTTTTTAAACTAAAAAATCATAGAATTGGAAGGGACCTCAGGAGATCATCTAGTCCAACCCCCTGCTCAAAGCAGGATCAATCCCCAACTAAATCCCCAAATGGCCCCCTTAAGGATTGAACTCACAACCCTGGGTTTAGCAGGCCAACACTCAAACCACTGAGCTATCCCTCCCCCCGTATGTATGAAGTGGCACCAAGCTGCTTGCAAAGATCAGAGATTTTTTTAAAAATATGGTAGCTTCCATTTTAAAACATTATTTCACAACAGTTAACATTCAAAACTGAAAGCAAGTGTGCAGCATACAACAACACTAAGTGGTCTCAGAAGTTAAAAACCTTACAGCAAACCGATAACAGGCAGAGAAAAAGGGCAGTTATAACACTTCTGTTGATGGATCTCCATTGTATTTATGGTACTGAAGTGAATTGCAAGTAGGAAACCTCTTACATGAAGAACTGGAATGCCTTGCTCTTATATAGCACTTTTCATCAGCAGATCTCAAAGCGCTTTACAAAGGAGGTCAGTATCTATCCCCATTTGACAGATGGGGAAACTGAGTCACAGACTTGCCCAAGATCACCCTGAAGGCCAGTGGCGGAGCCAGGAATAGAACCCATGTCTACTGATTCCCAATCCAGTGGCCTATCCATTAAGAGCAGACCTGAGTGGCAGACCCTAAAGAAGGGCTTTTTTGTTGAGTCACCTTAGGCTCAAGTGCTAAAATCCTTCATTATGATTCAGGGTAATTACAGCTGAGTCATGATGATGGTTGGGCCCACTTAGCTCCAACCAGAATATTAAGGGGGTGGGAGTCTTCTTTAAGGCCCACAGAAAACAAGGACAGGGAGAAACTCTAGAAAGAGTTTACCTCAGGCAGAAAGTTTAGGTTGATGCCAATGTTGTATTCATTTTATTGTTTCTGAGTTACCAATAAACCCAAATCCTAGGAAGGGGGTGAGTCTGGACACTACCTTGGGGTCTGTGTACTGTGCTGGGGGTGGGGTAAAGACTCAATCTGTTCACAGATTATAATGAAATTGGATTATCTCAATCAGTGGGCAGGGTCACAGTTTTCTTAGTTCTTTCAGTAAAATAAAACATTTAATCCAATCAGAAGAGGTCATAGATGGGGCTATCCAGATTTTGTTGATTTGCCATGGCAAAGCTTTTCCTAATTTATCGGTCTGTGGTGGATGCTGCATTTTAAAAATAACGTGCAGGCCTTACAGATGTGGTCATGTAAGAGCAGCCTACAATATTGGGATTAAATTCCTATTTGTTAGACATTCCAAAAATTTTAAGAGCAGACTGGACCATTTTGACCATCTAGACTGACCACCTGCATAACACAAGCCATAGGATTTGACCCAGTGATGCCCACATATTCCAATAACTTGCACATGAACTAGAGCCTATCTTTTAGAAAGGCATCCAGTGTTAATTTAAAGATTCCCAAGTGATGGAGAATCTACCACATCACTGCACAGCCAATATGGTATTTTTTAAATGAAGTTCAGTACTATGATAGCAAAGTAAAATCACTTTGGGCTGGTCTACACTTACCCCCCAAATCGAAGTGAGGTACGCAAATTCAGCTACGTGAATAACGTAGCTGAATTCGACATACCTTACTTCGACCTTACCGCGGTTCAGACGCGGTCCACACGCGGCAGGCAGGCTCCCCGTCGACTTCGCGGTACTCCTCTCGCTGAGCTGGAGTACCGCAGTCGACGGGGATCACTTCCTGGTTCGATTTATCGCGTCCAGACCGGACACGATAAATCGAACTCGGAACTTCGATCCGCAGCCGTCGAACTAACCGGTAAGTGTAGACTAGCCCTTTGATTCTACCTTAAATCCTCAGATTTTGAAAGAAAAATCTCCCACCCCCCAATGCTGTGTACATGGAGTAGTGTGGTTGCAAAATAGACCAGAAGCCCCTAACAATCAAACTGAATAAGAAAATATAGATTTAATCTTATTTTTAAGCCAATTTTGAAATCCCAATTAATATACTTTAAAATCAGGTCAGTATGTTTCTGAGTTTAGTTGGGAACCCCATGTAGACATTATAGAAATTGTCAAAATAAGCATTTTATTTAAAAGTTTAAGGCCACTTCCTAGTTTCAATCACTTTCCATCTAATGCAAGTGCTGAAATTTAAGTTCTTACCGTCCTCCAAAGACATCAAAGAGATGCTGCCACCGATTGTTAATTTTATTGAGTTTGTCGTCTATTTCTGCGACTCTGCTCTTGTTGCTAGTCTTGATCAGTTGATCACCCATTTGCTTCAAATGAAGTTTATTTTCACCAAACAGGTTTATTTCTTCCATACAGTCCTGAAAAAATACATCCAAAAATTACTCACAGCAAATATTGAAAATCAATTTCTTGTTGAAATAACGTTTCTGGGTTTCTTTGTTGTGTGGGGTAGGGATGGGCTTGAAGTGGAATGACCCAGACTACTATAGAAACACCAGGGGAGTAGATCCTCAGCTGGTGTAAACTGGCAGAGCTCCACTGGGGAAAATGGAACTACACCACTTTACACTAGCTGAGGATCCAACCTATTATTTTTTTATCATACAACCAGAAAATAAATGAAACAGAGAAGGGTAGGGAAAACAAACCACAAAGGACTACATTAGATCTGGTGTTTTAATACATTAAAGTACTACATTGAAAACTTATTCTTCATGGAATAAAGTACCCATAATTAAGACACTATAAACAATAAGTGGCTTAAAGACCTGAAAGCTTTCAGGTACATAACCCTAAGAATAGCAATTTAAATTTCTAATATTTTCTTGGGTTTTTTTTCTTTTAACTTAAATTTTCAATGAGTTGCCTTGAAAGAACCTGAATTCAAGTTCAAAGGGCTCTTCCTTTGCTGGTATTCTTATACTCGGAGATCTGGGATTAGATACTGAGCCCCTTAAGCCATTAGGAAAGGACACTGGCAGCAGACTACTGTTCTATGTCTTTAAGACAGTGCTTTTTATATATTATTACTTAATCAAGTCCAGTACCACAGAAGGAAATCAGATTTGTTTCCCAACTTGATCTGTGGGTTTTGAGGTATTTTTTGGTTGTGGTGACCTCCTATGTACTTAGTACCAAAACTACTGCACACCTCCGTATTCTGGGATCATCCCCGATTTACCTTCCAACTGCCCCTTTCACCACAGCTGGCACTGGTGAGAAGAGGGGGAGCAATGAAGCACTACCAGGGCTCCATAGATTACCTACAAAGGATACTCCAAGATGAGGAGGCTCTAGCTTCACACCCTACAAATATCAAGCACAGGTCCCATATGTTACATCCTTCCCCAGTGTAAGAAGCAGGAGTCCCAATTGTAAATGCAGTATGCTGATGCAGCACAATCAGGGGAGTGTTCTGTTTTGGTTTTGACTCTGAGATTGATCAGCAGTAGGGATAAAGACAAAGGACTTGGTATCAATGGAAATTAGGAACTAAATACCTTTGTCAATTGGGGCCTAAATGTTTAAACTTCTAATCTTTACCCTGTAAATGCTGTTCGACATTCCTATTTTAGTGTGGGCTTGTCTACAACAAATTCTTAGAATGCATGAAAAGCTGCTTTCCTGTTTACCTTTTGTAATTTGTCTATCGCATCTTCAATGCTAACATCTGTAGTCTGTAACACTTTGCTTTCCATCTCTACCAGCCATGTACATAGCTCCTTATTCTTTTCATCGAACACAATCCACGCATTGAGTCTGTCCTCTATTTCCTGCTTACGCAGAGACACCTATGGATAACAATACACGACAGCTGTCAACAGCTCTGAAATCTCTCAGCAGGAAGCCAACGATTACAAATATAATCAAAAGCATGCATGACTAAGATATATATTCATGTTTCTTTTTAACAATAGATTATTGCAGCAGACTTCATTATAAATGCAAAATTCTAAATTAATCAGCTGTTCCAATTTACAGGACCATTTATTAGAATTCTCCAGGTTTCCTTTTAAAGATGGTAACCAGAATGTTATAACATGAGGTTGGAACACCAGGAGTAAACACTGTCTAACAAACAGCAGATTCTCTCCATTAGAAAAGCTACTAAACTAGATGACGGCTTTATAAATGATGACATTTGTAACAATTCATATGCCATGCAGTGGAAATCTGACAATGCCAAACAAACAAGGAAAACAAAATATTCATTTCTACATACAAACATATATAAAATAGCTATATCTTACAGACACACACGTATATACACACAACACATGTTCAGATACATCCCTGTAATAAGTTCCTATATTTCTGCAAGCACGATAAATTATGCAAATACAGATCCCATTTATTGTCCACCTTTGATCATCTCATTGGCATTCTTCCCATTTACTTCTCCTATTACGAGTGCCTGGATTCTACGCCCGATATAATTTTATAAACTGGTTGAAATTTGGGAGTAGCAATGAGGGAAAAGAAACATAAAAAGATCATTCATATCACGTGATACATTAGATAACCTCACACTATTCTGCTTTTGCCCTTTCAGATCTGAGAACTTGGGTTCCATATGTTCCTCATGCACAACAAATTAAATGGGTAGGGAAATGTATTCCTAAATCTGCACTGCCTCTTCATTCACATTACATGGACTACACAGAAAGAGGGGGCTAGAAGTGTTATGGAAGGGGCATAGGGGAATGGCCTCCAAAACTCATAAGAACATAAGTATGGCCCTACTGTGTCAGACCAAAGGTCCATCTAGCCCAGTTTCCTGTCTTCCGACAGTGGACAGTGACAGGTGCCCCAGAGGGAATGAACAGGTAATCATCAAGTGATCCATCCCCTGTTGCTCATTCCCAGCTTCTGGCAAACAGAGGCTAGGGACACCATTCCTGCCCATCCTGGCTAATAGCCATTGATGGACCTATCCTCCATGAATTTATCTAGTTCTTTTTTGAACCCTGTTATGGTCTTGGCCTTCACAACATCCTCTGGCAAGGAGTTCCACAGGTTGACTGTGCACTGTGTGAAGAACTTCCTTTTATTTGTTTTAAACCTGCTGCCTATTAATTTCATTTGGTGACCCCCTAGTTCTTGTGTTATGAGAAGTAGTACACAACACTTCCTTATCTACTTTCTCTACACCAGTCATGATTTTATAGACCCCACTCATATCCCCCCTTAGTCATCTCTTTTCCAAGCTTAAAAGCCCCAGTCTTATTAATCTCTCCTCATACGGAAGCCGTTCCATACCCCTAATCATTTTTGTTGCCCTTTTCTGAACCTTTTCCAATTCCAATATTTTTTTTTTTGAGATGGGGTGACCACATCTGCACACAGTATTTAAGATGTGGGCATACCATGGATTTATATAGAAGCAGCACGATATTTTCTGTTCTATTATCTATCCCTTTCTTAATTATTCCCAGCATTCTGTTCGGTTTTTTGACTGCTGCTGCACATTGAGTGGATGTTTTCAGAGAACTATCCACAATGACTCCAAGATCTCTTTCTTGAGTGGTAACAGCTAATTTAGACTCACATTAACTCACATTAAGAAGAAATCTACCAAAGAATCCAGAGACCCCAAGGATTTCTGCCCCAATCTGAAAGCTCTTCTGCGTCCATGATATGCCTGCTCACTCTTCATGAACAACACCAGCAGAATGGGGATCACATGATGGCACCGGCTATCCTCTGCCACCTGCGCTGTCTCCCCGCTGATGAGGTAAGTTAACTCCATCCATGGGGGCAAGGAGGGGACAGCAATGCTGACTGAAGCAGCATTAACTCCTGTAAGTGTTTCTGATTTCAATTCTGCCTGTTTAAGAGGGGCACATTTTGCATAGAATGGCTGTTCCTTGTTCTAGCCCCCCCCCCCCCACATCACTCACAGAGCTCTTCCCACTAGAACTTCAGGCAGGAACTCTCCTGGGGAGTTTGCAGTGAAGGGGGGCCATTATGAACTAGCTGCCTTTCCCTTCTGTGCTTCCACTCTTTTCCCCCTTCTGTGGTTTTGTCCCCCTCTTTGCTCTGAGGTGGAACATGCACTATAGATCTAGATATCTGCACATACCATACATGTGTGTGTTGTAATAGACCAGGACCCTTACTGATATGAATTGTTAAATCCTTGACCTACATATACCTTGCAATGGCAGCGATGCAAACACTAATCCCCTTGAATGCATCTGCTCATTAACTGTTTGTTTGTTTACTTCCCTATCCTTTCCAGCATGAGCATCTGGCTGCCTCACTCTGCGATGTTCATGACAGCGGCAGGGTTTGACTTTTAAAGTCTTTCAGACCTCTCCATTTAAATGTCAATTGTTTTCAAATAATACATATCTTTCACTCTCCTGCTTCGACTCATCTCGCAAAAGGCATACAAAATGGAGTAGTCTATTAGTATGTTTGAAATTGAATTACAATGGCCAAAAGTTTACAGTTTGGATTAATCTGTAGCTAGGCACATTGGCTTGATTTTCATTTTCAGAGCTCACTATCTGAGCTAATGGTGCTCAGCATCACTGCAAAATCAGGCCTCTTATTTAGGTGTCTAAATATGAATATACAGAAGGTGCCCAAATCAGGCATCCAACTTGGAAAATATTGTGCCTACATGTTTTCAAGTCTAACATTCTCAGTGTTCGGAATCTGCTGTAGTAAGTAAAATAATGAACATATTTCATTGGATTAGCCATTCAGGCCTTGTCTACACTACACTATTAAATTGACCTATGTCAGGTCAATGTACAGCCACCACAGTAATTACTGCGGTTTTTCATGTCCACACTACCTTCCTTCTGCTGGTGGTGTGTGTCCTTACCAGGAGTGCTTGCACCAACTTAAGTGGGGCAATGTGGGGCACTGATTGCCTGGGCTGTTGGCTCCGTGCGGAGCCCTGCTACTGGGCGCCGACACCCCGGACTGTTGGCTCTGCGTAGTGCCTCACAGCTGTGAGCTCCATGCAGAGCTGACAGGTGATGTAAGTAAAGCAGTGTCTACACAGACACTAGGGCGCCCTAACAACATCAACCTAAACACTACGCCTCTTGTGGAGGTGGAGTTATTAAGCTCGATATACTGGAGGACTTACATTGGTAGGAACAACGCTGTAGTGTAGACACTCATGCCTGGGCTACACTAGTGGGGGGGTTCGAACTAAGATACGCAACTTCAGCTATGCTATTTGCTATTCGCGTAGCTGAAGTCGAAGTATCTTAGTTCGATTTACCTGGCCGTTCTCACGGCAGCGAGTCGACTGCCACGGCTCCCCCGTCGACTCTGCTTACTCCTCCTGCCAAGGTGGAGTACGGGCGTCGATTAGCAGATCGATTTATCACGTCCAGACGAGATGTAATAAATTGATCTCCGATACATCGAACACTACCCGCCGATCCAGCGGGTAGTATAGACGTACCCTTATAGAGTTAGGTCGACAATGTCGACCTAACTCTGTAGTGTAGACCTGGCTTCTGTTTAAGGCAAAATATTTCCCCACATCAAAGTTATTACGAAGGGCCTGACTGCAATCCTTATTCCACCAAAACTCCCATTGCACCCAAACTCCCTTTACCTGGGTAAGGTTTGGGCCCTAAATACTAAGAGAACTTTGTTTCTACAGTTTTTTTTGTAATCTACAAAAAAGAGCTGTGTAATTTTATGACTATAAAGGGTTCCATTTGTTGCTAGCTTAGAACTATCTGCTAAGTTATCTTCTTAAATCAAGAATCTTAAAATCTAGCATTTTGTTTCTTTATCCACTACCTTTCTCTATTAATACACATGGGTATTTTATGTATATATTTTACACATCAATATATACCAATCTATAAATTCAGTGAGCCAAATTCATCCCTCGTGTAACTCCATTGACTTCTGTGAATGAATTTGGTCCAGTAAATTTAAACGCAGTGCTAACTAAATGTAATAAAGCAGGAGGCCACAAAAGATGGTAAATGTTGAACAGTAAACTGTGAAAAGTTTTGGAAATACATGATATTAAAGAAATGGCAAGTCCATTTTTAATATGTTTCGGTCCTTTTTACTAAACATACCTAAAAGCTAATTTATTTCTCAATTTCATTTATTAGCTTCCTTGGAGCTGTATTTTACATCAGCCTATGCAACATGCCATCACTTGTGAATTCAAAAGACAAAGTAGGTAGCAGGAACAGCAAAACAATTCCCCCCACTTTTTCCCTCCTTCACCTCAGGCGATTCCTCTGTTTAGCCTTAGCACTCTAGTTTGTGAGTTAGAACAAAGCCATCCATTTCACCCAACAGCTGCATTTCTTTCATACACTCAATTGCTAAGAGTTTGCAAAACTGGAGCACTGTGTGTTATGGAAACAAAGAGAGCAGAGCCCAGACTAACTTTATTCCACTATTGTTCAGCCATGCTGCTATAAAGAAACTGCATCGGCAAAGAATGCCACAAAAGAGACTCTACTAAAGCATGTTTCTTTCTGCTGTTTAGGCCCGGCAAGACATTTCACCCTAAATGCATCAACAAAGAACAAGGACATGAGCAGTATATTCAACAGCTAAGTGACTTACTCGTAAGCAGAGTTCTTCCCATTTTCTGTGCAAATGCTCTACTTGCTCCTTCAGCAGCACCACATCTTCTGCAAGGATATAATGAGCCAAGTCTGCCTTCATATTATCAAGTTCTTTCACGTTTTGATTCCAGTCTGCAAGTGACTTCTCCAGTTCCTGCATTTAAACACAAGGAAAACAATCCTTTAGACTAAGCTCCTGTGTTTTTTCAAAACCTGTTGGTTTAATCCTCTGATTGGCCTGTGGGGGAGGGGAAAACAGAAAAAGAGGAGGGGAAATTTACACATAGGCAGCCAAAAGGGTAACGCCGTGAAAGCCTTTGCTAGGATGCTTTTAGGTCGGCCTCCCTTTCCTTTTCCTTCTATCTCTGCATCCTGTTTGGGGGAGGGTGGGAAGAGAAATGGTTAGTTGAAAAGATTAATCTCTCTTTAGCTTTATTAGAGGGTTCCCTCCAGTGTTAGTTATTCTGAGCCTGATCCAGAGCCCATTAAAGTCAATGGCATAGCTCTTGTTGACTTCATTAGTGCAGAAACAAGCCTCCTGTTACTCTATAAAATACTAAAATAGTCTCTACTAGATATCTAACACCCAACATCTTCTGACACACTGCTGCAGGGTTTGGTAGAGTGGCCAACTTTCTAATTGCACAAAACCGAACACCCTCGCTCACTTTCACTGGGCTGGGGCGTGGGTTGGGGTGCAAGAGGGGGTGAGGGCTCCAGCTAGGGGTGCGGGCTCTGGGGTTGGGTGTGGGAGGAGATGTGGACTCTGGCTGGGGGTGAGGGATTTGGGGTGCAGGAGGGGACTCAGGGCTGGGGCAGAGGGGTTGGGATGTGGGAGGATGTTTTGGGTGTGGGCTCCGGCCAGGTGGCGCTGACCTCAGGTGGCTACGGGTCAGCAGTGCAGCGGGGCTAAGGCAGGGTCTCTGTCTGCCCTGGCTCTGCGCGGATCCCAGAAGTGGTGGCATGTCTGGCTCTTAGACACAGGGGGCTCTGTGTGCTGCCCGCAGGCACCGCCCCCACAGCTCCCCCGGCAGTTCCCGGCTAATGGGAGCTGTGCAACCGGCGCTCAGGGCAAGGCCAGCACATGGAGCCTCCCTGGCCGGCTGCCCCTGTACCTAGGAGCCGGACATGCCGGCAGCTTCTGGGAGCTGCGCAGAGCCAGGACAGGCAGGGAGGCTGCCTTAGCTCCGCTGCGCTGCCGACCAGACTTTTAAAAAAATATTAAAATTAAAAAAACAAGCAAACAAAAAACCCAACCCCAAGATCCATTTCTTTAGTTACCAGGAGATAATCTTTCCTGATGGCTTTTAAAAAGTGTTTTGTGTTAACGCTGTCACTGAAGTAGAGGAGTAATTGCACAACAAACTGCAGTAGGGAAATATCTGTGTTGTAAAGATGAAGGAAAGTCACATTTTACAATAAAGAAAACTTGTCAAAAAAACCTTCCTGGTTCTGCTAACAAGGAAAAATGCTCTGCCTCTAGGAGGGGTAAACTGGACCAAAAAAAGCACAAAGGGAGCAGACAGCTTCTCCTACCCTCATAGTTCCTCTGCATGGGCTGGGGGAGGCTGTCTCCCCCCAAACAGCCCGGCGTGGCCCTGCTCACACTCCACCCCTAAGCCCCTTCCTGCAGTTCCTTCCCGAGTCCCTCTCTTCCGTAGCCCAGGCTAGCTAGGGCTGTGGGAGGTAGGTGCCGCAATGACGCGGGGTGCTGGGACCGCGCTGCCCAGGGGGAAGGGGTGAGAAGGAGTGGAGTGGGGGCAGGGCCTGTGGCAGAGCCAGGGGTTGAGCAGTGAGCACCCCTGGCACATTGGAAAGTTGGCGCCTGTAGCTCCGGCCCCGGAGTCGGTGCCTATACAAGGAGCCGCATATTAACTTCTGAAGAGCTGCTTGTGGCTCTGGAGCCACAGGTTGGCCACCCCTCTCCTAGCTCTTATATAGCGCTTTTCATTTTTAGATCTCAAAGTGCTTTACAACGGAGGTCATTATCCTCATTTTTTTTTACCGGTGGGGAAACTGAGGCATAGGGAAGGAAGTGATTTGCCCAAGGTCATCCAGCAAGCCAGTGGCAGACCCAGGAATAGAACCCAGGTCTCTTGTGTGAGACCGGGTCCAGTGCTCTATGCAAGAAAAGAAAGATCAAATGAAGAAACTGGGGTCCTTATTTGGTCCTTTTATACTTTCCCTTGTACCTAAGGGCTGCTTCTATACTGACACAATTTGACACTCGTTCTCCATTGCCAAAGCTCCACTGTTGGTATTATCAGTGGTGGTAGCTGTACGCAGACAGGGTGCAGGCATTTTTAATAAACACTGTGTCAACACAAGTGTTTGAAAGCAGACTGTTCCTGCATATGAATGGAAGCCAGCTATCACAAAGAAGATCTCAGGGAGCTGATAGCGATACAAAGGTGTCTGACATCAGTAAACTTACTTGTTTCCACAAAGAACAAGCAATTCAGTTCATAAACATGGTGATAAAGCACAATGCCATGAAGCCAAATGTAAAATTACCAAAATGAGTCATGTACTGGAAATACTTTCCATGCCATTTAACTTTCATGGCAGGATATTGGCAGCAAAGGCTTAAACTGCTGCTGCCCCACTCTGGCTCTCCTTTACTTGTATCTATTATTTTTAGCATGCCACAGGTGTGCAAGGGGGATAATAAGGTCCCTGCCTGGAGAATTTTACAGTCTATAGTAGACTGATAACACAATGAATAAAGACATCCAACCACATAGAGGGGAGTGAAGTGGAGTAACAGATGGGGAGAAGGGAATTTTAGCTTCTTATTGTAATGGGTTTGAATTTTTATTTATGTATTTATTTATTTGGAGAGGCAGGGGAAGTGATAAACCTCTGTGTCCCATCGAGGGCATAACAAGAAATGTCTTGCCAAATTTAAAAAATTCCAGCACTTGCAGAGATTAGAATGTTACCTCAGACATGGGGGAAGGGGCAGAGGCAATTTACCAGTAGCACAGAAGAACTCAGTTTCATGGAGGAGCAGGCAAAATAGAAATCCAGTCTCCTAGAGGCTCAAGTATTGTACAAGGAATATTTTTTTACAAAATGTGCTTTCAATACCTTAACGTGTTCCTTGGTTTTGTAGAGCTCTTCATGTTCCTCTGGTAGTGGATCTTTTATTTTTGCCTTAAGCTCTCGCAGCCTGCTTTCCAATTCCTTGATTAGCTTTTCACAGCTGTCCCAGGTCTGTTTTTTACAGAAACAAGGAAGTTATGAATGACAAATACCTCACAATATGAACGTACTGTACTGTATGGATGAATTAAAGAACAGCAACTTCTAAATTAATTTGTTTTAGAGGACTGATCATCAAGATCTTCTCTCAGTGCATGCACACTGTCCCTAATAAGAATTTCATTCATGGATTAATGGGAGAATTGAGCCCTCTTGTACTTAATGTTTGCCTTGAAGTGCATTTTAGCTCAAGTGGTTCACATCTCCTTTTATACAAACTAAGATTCTTTGGAGCATAGTTTTAAATTATGCTGGGGATCAATTAAAGTGATATCATTAAATATGAAGTTTTTATGCTTTGAAACACAAATTTACTACAGAGAGGAAATGTTCATGGATCTACCTCTTCATTTTCAGAGGGGGTATATATGACGAGGTGCATATGGCCTCTGGCATAGTCTGCACCTATAATGGCTCTATAAGAAAGTAAAGACGTGTGACTAATGCCACTGGCCCAAATTCTCACCCAGGTGCTTCATGGCTGAAAAGCGTGGGCAGAGTTCCACAGCCCAGCCAGGCTCCATGCCCACAGACCATTACTGCAGGCCAAAGAGGGGAAGCCCACTATAGCAGTATCCACCCAGCTACCCAGCCCCTCTCCACAGAGGTATAGTCCACGACTTTGGCCTTCCCACAGCCCCCAGATATAGAGCGATGGAGCTGGTGGGGAGTGATCTCAAAGGGAGTCACAGGGCCTCCTCAGAGTCTGGAGTTGGGGAGCTCACACTTGATGCTTTACTGGCAAGGAACTCTGTTGGGGAGGCAAGGGGAATGGGAGCCTTTTGACAACTTCAAAATGGAGCTGTCACCTGAGATTAGAGGCCACTGACTGAGACACACCCCTGCAAGGGCAAATGGGGGACAACAGAGCCACCATGATACCCCACACCCCCAATCAAAGGCACTGGTTTAGGGGCTCGGTCCTTTAATGCCACTGTGTCCCCAACGTGTAAGCTTGTTTGTGGGTGTTACTGCATCCCAGTCATGTAGTAGTCTTTGCAGGGCCTGCATATTAGGATCCACAGAAGGGCAGACAAAGAGCTGGGAAGCTGCTACTCTTTCTGGGGCTCCTTGGGCACTTCCTGCAGAGAGCCTCTCCACCCCACTAGCCGGCTTGCCCCTAGGACTGGTCAAGCTTCCCTAGAACTCCCCCACACGGGAACAGGAGTGTGCAGGCATCTCAAGGTGTCCTCCTCCCCAGAGAACACCTGTCGAGTACCTGCACAGTGCCGAGGAGCTGCTTCATGATCTTCTCCACTTGAAGTTGGGCATCATTCCAATTCTCCTGTAACTGTCTGAGTTCCTCTTGTATTACAGCGTTGGTCTCCGGGTCGGAGTCTTTACATAACTTCTTCCCAATATCGACAGTGAGGGAGTACGTGGTTTGCCATCTCTGAAGAAGTATTTCCTTGTTCTAAAAAAAACAACCACAACATTCTAAATCTCAGCCCCGGGATTAGAGAGCTTTACAAACCTGCTTGGAATTTCACTTTTTAAAAGATGACCTACAAAGGGTGAAAAAAATGGGCTTGTTATTTGTTTTTATTTAACTTTTTGTTATGTATATAAAACAAAAAACCCTCAAGGCTGCATGTTTTCCTGCTTGTTTTGAGTCTATCAGATGCTATGCTGACTTTATAATGAGTTAAATGATTACACCAAGAGAGTGAAAGTGGAGCAATTCAGAGGGGACGGAATTTTTAGTCATACAGTTAAAAAGTTAAAATGTTGTGTTTGTTAACAACTCTTTAACTTCAACGACTAAGCAACATCTTGGAGAAAGAATGTCTTTGTTAAAGATGGAACACCTCTTTTCAGTTAAGTAAGCTAAAAACATCCCTCCTCTGTGAACCCTAACAAGATCTTCATCAAAAATAGGGAAGATGAAAGTTAACATTCCTGTTATTTTTAAGGTAAAGAACTAAGCAGAAAAACATCCATAAAAGCCAGACTTTCTGGCCTTCATTATACATCATAAAGAAGCAAAAACAGGCACTAGTACAATTTTTAAAGTCCCCTGAAGGTCACCGTTAACAGGAGAAAATAAACATGAAACACATGAGGCTAGCAACAAAGGAGTGGGGCTCTGAAAGTCTTAAAAATTACAATCGTCCTAGCTCCTAATGTTAATGGATGTGTCTGTGCAGAAAGAGTAGTCTAATCATTAATCAAAACCAAATTTTCTGATTGCCTTATACACAGGCCAGTTGGGTGCTCCTGTTCAGATTCTTATAATATAAGGGAATATTCAATTCAACTAAAAGGCAACACATTTAAAACTAATAAAAGGAAATTATTTTTTACACATTACATCAGGGGTCGGCAACGTTTGGCATGCGGCTCGCCAGGGTAAGCATCCTGGCGGGCCGGGCCAGTTTATTTACCTGCTGACGCGGCAGGTTCGGCTGATCGCGGCCCCCACTGGCCGCGGTTCGCCGTCCCGGGCCAATGGGGGCGGCGAG